TTCTTGCAAGTATGCATCTAGTAGGCTTTTGAACATCTGTATGGACTCTGATAAAACCACTTCTTCAGGCAGAGAATTCCACATCCTGATTGTTCTTACAGTAAAAAAGCCTTTCCTTTGCCTTAAACAAAATCTTCTTTCTTCCAGTCTAAACGCATGGCCTTGTGTCCTATGTAAAGTCCGGTTTGTGAATAGATTTCCACACAATGGTGTGTATTGGCCCCGAATATATTTGTATAAAGTTATCATATCCCCTCTCAGGCGATGTTTTTCTAAACTAAAAAGGTTTAAATTTGTTAACCTTTCTTCATAGCCGATATGTTCCATTCCTTTTATTAGTTTTGTAGCCCGATTCTGCACTTTTTCTAGTGCCATAATATCCTTCTTTAGAACAGGTGCCCAAAATTGAGCAGCAAATTCAATATGGGGTCTTACCAGTGATTTATAAAGAGGCAAAATGATATTCTTGTCCCGAGAATGAATGCCCTTTTTCATGCATGACAATACCTTACTGGCCTTGGCCACTGCTGATTGACATTGCACATTGTTGCATAGTTTGTTGTCTATAACAATTCCCAAGTCCTTTTCATGTGTTGTTATCCCTAATTCACTTCCATTAAGGGTATACGTTGCTTGTGTATTCTTTACGCCGAAGTGCATAACTTTGCATTTTTCAACATTAAATTTCATCTGCCATTTGAGTGCCCAGTCCCCCAGTCTATCATTCCCGTTTATATGTTGGCTCTGTATAAATGCTAATAATAATAATACTATAAATGTAGGGGTATATATGTATGGTGTGTCTGTGTGTATATGTAGGTGTGTGTGTTGTGCAAGAGGGTGTGTGATGTGTGTGATATTTGGGTAGATGCAGAGTGTTTTACTGTGGAGTGACTTTTTCTGTTATAAGTCTGTATATTTATAAGTCCTGCTGATCTTGACCTGCTTTGTCTCCTTACTAAGTATCAGTAGGCAGCAGAACACTTAAAGTAGATAGAAATGTGGCATACCTCCCTATTTAGGGCCCAAAAGCTGCCCCTCATTTTTATCCTAATCTCCCTCTTTTCTACAGCTCCATATTGTTGGTGTGTTTGAGTGTATAACAGAGCTCCACAGTAATAATACTCACAGTAATTAGTATTACTAATAGTGCTCACAGTCTTTAAACTACATTAACTGTGTTTAAAATGCAATCTGTGTAAATAAGATACATTGTTCTTGTTCTAAATTAAATTTTATTTGTCTATATTGTTATTACTAAGTCACGTACAATGTCTCAAAACAGCTACTGGCCAAACTCCCATTCACACCCCTAAAATTAAAGTGTCCCTGTTTCTCCATTTGCAACACTGGTAGGTATGGCGTGGGTACATGGCAGAGCATTGTATTCCCATATTTCTATCTACACTGTGCTGTGTCCCCTGACATTTTGTGAAAAGACTGGGCAGGCGAGCTCGATATGCACCCTCCAGAAGCTCTCTAGAAATAAAGAGCCCCACAGTCAGGGCTCTAGCACCCCCAGATCCTCTTTAGTGACAAACTGTCCCTTAAACAAAAAAGCAAAATGTGGTGAAATGTGTTTAGATTTGCTTAATGTGAAGGCAATATTTTGGATGTATAGCAAAAAAATAATAGAACTATATCAAACTGATGCATGTTACCAATGAAGCAGTAACGAGAAGTAAAAATATATTTTGGCTTAGTATGGGTGATCTGAGCTGCAGGTATCAACTTGTTCTTCCGGTTTTAATAGGGCCACACATTTACATTTACATTTAAATTTGAATGAACCATCTGTTCATTCAAATTTGGCTTATAATTCTAAATCAGTCCATTGATCTCACTCAAGTATCACCCAAGTCTATTGTCTTACAGTGTCCTCAAGAAGCAGGACTTTGGATGGGCATTTGGGACTTCTGGAAAGTGTGATTCTCTACGAAGCAACAAGCACTACTTTTTAAACTACCTTTTGAGTTTTGTTAAAGGACCACTATAGTGCCAGGAAAACATACTCGTTTTCCTGGCACTATAGTGCCCTGAGGGTGCCCCCACCCTCAGGGACCCCCTCCCGCCCAGCTCTGGGGAGAGGAAAGGGTTAACACTTACCTTTTTTCCAGCGCCGGGCGGGGAGCTCTCCTCCTCCTCTCCGCCTCCTCTCCTCCCTTTCGGCTGAATGCGCACGCGCGGCAAGAGTTGCGCGCGCATTCAGCCGGTCTCATAGGAAAGCATTCATAATGCTTTCCTATGGACGCTTGCGTGTTCTCACTGTGATTTTCACAGTGAGAATCACGCGAGCGCCTCTAGTGGCTGTCTCATTGATTGATTTGGAGGCTGGATTAACCCTAACATAACCCTAACATAAATATAGCAGTTTCTCTGAAACTGCTATGTTTATTTAAAAAAGGGTTAACCCTAGCTGGACCAGGCACCCAGACCACTTAATTAAGCTGAAGTGGTCTGGGTGCCTAGAGTGGTCCTTTAAGTAGTTGGTAAATACAATCAATCATTCAAATATATGTCACAAAGGAAAACAGGAGATAGGTTAGCGCTAATAAAACAATGGATAGGCAGCAACCTGACAGAGGGTAACCCTCTAACCCTCTAACCCTCTATGGTAAAGGTATAAAACAAGAGAAAAGAGAGGCTACGCCAAAAAAGAAATGATAAAAAGGTAGTAAAAATTATTGTATAAAATTAGTCCCAATATATATAAAATTGATCTGTGGTAGGAAGTTGTCTCAAGCAATATTTCAGCTGGTGAGGTATCTTCTCTGTTTATAGTAGTGCAGATCGTCTCGTAATATGGAAGACACAAGAAGAGAGGACCAATTGTGCAGAGTGTATATGATGATTGTAGGTGAATTAAAATATAAATTTTACACTCACATTTAGATGAGCTATGGCCAGCTCACGTGTAGTAGGCACACACTTATAGGATATACAGGTGCTTGTCCTCCAGGAGAAGATGGTGTCCAACGCTCACGGAAAGAAAAACATAAAAACAACCAATAGTGCTCTCTGATGACACGATGTAAAAATGGATAAAGTAAAATAAAATATACTCACAAGTAGAGTGCAAGCCTAATTGCACTCTGATAATAGCGTTGGTGGTATAATCCCCACCTCAGGATAAGTTGAATAAAATGCCAGGAAAAAAATAATAATAATAAAAATGTGTATAAAAAGGTAATGGCACAGAAATCTAGCCCAAAAAATATTTTATTATAAAATACACAATATTATAAAACCATTCACGCGTTTCACCACTAGAATGGAATCATCATGGAATCTTTTCTATTGTTTTATTCAAATATATGTGTCAGACTCTAATCCTCCCTGTTAATCTAAACTGAATCTAAGTTCAGTACTACTAGGCCAAATAAAAACATAATGTTAAATTCTAATCCGTTGTAAAAGCTGATGTAACAAAAATGCAAGAAAGAAATGACTATTTGAAAAGTGTGGTTTAATCTTCTCCCTATCCCAAATCTCTAAATCAATCATTTTACTTTCTGCAAAACCTCGTTATACATCAGTGGATGTGGTTGACTTCATTTCCAAGCAAACCAAAAAATTGCTTTCACTACTGCCACTGCAAACTATAAACACTGCAAATAACTTACTAATATCTGCTCTGCCAGCATCAATGACCTATGAGCATAGCTTGACTCTATTAGAGCTTTAGTCAGCGAGAGCATAAAATGTAAAAGATAGATTTTATACACGTAAATCTCCAAGAAAATCAATAAAAGTTGTCATATGTGAAATTAACCAATATATCCAAAAGCCCTTAGTGTGCAAAGAACTGGCTTGGTGGCCGCTTCAAGTCATTTTGCAGCCTTAACTATATGCCTGCAGTGCACGCATCTTTAACCATCTGTAACCGACTCAGTAAGCAGCACATGCTTATAAAGGTGCGGCAGGGCAATTAAACAAAGAAAGCTGTCTTTAAATTATGATTGAACTAGGTGTTGCTGTGTCTAGATATCTAAATGTACAATACTATGCGGTTTAATGAGAAAATGATGAGTTGGGATAAATCAATGACTGTAGGCAATATAGGGATTCTGGAAAAAAGTTGTCAAAAATAAACGTTTGTTTGCCAGTTCTGCTATTTTGGGTCATCTGTTAACGCTTTGCAAATCACTGCTGTGAATACATTTCTAAATATACTAATTATTAGCACAATTACTATGTACAACAGGTTGTTTTTCCTTAATATTAAAACAATTATTTTAATATTGTATGATACGTTCTTTGTTGGACTCTGATACCCAAGAATCTAAAACAAAAAATATGTTCTTTTGCTTTGAGGTGAAGAATTAAATGAACACTCTAAAGACCATATCCACTACATCCCGCTGTAATATTTATAGTGTTAGGAGTGCCGTGGCACTGTCCCGTGTTAGAGGTCAAATTGGTTTTTGTTTTCATTATGGTTTGACAACCTGGATCCTGCCGGATAAAAAAAGGGAGAAAATCCTTCTTCACGCCATAATGGCAGATAATCCATAATCAGATTTCCCTATTGGATCAACAACCTTTTGACATATATTAATTATATCTTTGAATATTCTGTTTCAAAGAAAAAGGGGGGAGCGGGGCCTGACCATCTAACTGAGCGGACGCATTGGACAAGGGCTCCGCACAAATTTTGCTATAACCGGTGTAAATTCCAAGAAAACAAGCAAAACACGACTCTGGCGCACACCGAGGGGTATCAAGGATACCCCGAGCATTGATGGGGGCAACTTCGAGACACTCTGACATGGAGCTCTGATCTTGCAAATGTGAGGCCTAGCGCGGTCTCGGCTGGGAGTGACGGCTGACCTCTTTAGAAGAGCAGTGCAGGCTGAACTGCAGCGGAACCCCCTTGGACCGGTGGGGGTTATCCCGGTCCCCACCTCTACTGCTGCCGAAACTCACCAGTACCCGGGCTTTTCTACCACAGGAATTCTGCTCCACAACCACACAGCGACTGCCTAAAGGTGGGGAGCCAGATGGCGGACGCACTTGTCTCGGAGACGCAAGGCCAGGCACCACACCAAATTGACTCACCTGAAACAAGCAGCACTCTCTCAGGCAGTTTTCAACCGCTGGTGGGCTGCCTTGGAGAAGAGGACAAAGCAAGCGACTTCCGATGTGGTCCCCCAGGCGGAAACAAAACCACGTTGCAAGGTGAGATCTGAGAAGCCCCTCACGGGCGAATCGATGCTGAAGCAGACAGCACACCTCACTCCATGCCTTCCAGGGACTAAGGCCACCAGGCGACCGACCCCTAAGCAACGAAGGCAAAAACGCATGCCGTACAGTGACTCCTACATTCTCCCGGATGGGAAGGACTTGGCCTACAAAGGGGCCCGAGTTCATGGCATCATGGCGCCAACTCCAACGCAGACCTGGGGCAGGAGAGAAGTGTGGCTATGCCTTCGTGAACTGCACACCAGTGGAAGCAGCGCAGGGAGAGATGGAGAAGAGAAGCCCAGATTGGACTTGGACTCTCGCCTGTGGCCTTCATGTGGTATTTGGTGACACCGTATGGTGGTCTCTACCTGCTGAGATGATATCATCTTGTCCAAATATGCTCTTTATGACTATTCTCTATACCTCCTATTTCACAGTATGTGGGGTAGAACTGTGTTCAGCATATGTATTGCTTTTTTCTCTTTTTTTTTGTTTTTCTTTTGCTTTTAGCTTTTTAGCTTTTCTGTTCCTCATCTGATTATCTCTCATGTGGGTGCGGTCTTGGGAAAATATCAGAAAATGGGGTAGAGAGGGAAATACTTGCCTATTCAGTGATGCATATATCATTCACATATATTGTGCCAGCTTCTACCTCAACATAAGCGACTTTAAACTAGCCAAGCATGGTCAGAACGTTTATTACTATTATTTAGCACTATCATAAGTCTTATTTTACTGAAGCTATAACAGATGTGGGAGCCTGCTCAACCTAAGACAGAAATACTGGTTTCATGGTTATTTCAATTTTAGCATCTGATGCCTACACCCCAACAGGGACAGAGAATTAAAGGAGAAAAACAGGATGGAACTCCTCCAGCATTATCTTGCTTGTACCCAGTGGAATTAAAGTTTGATAACCCCAAATCTTAAGCACCCTGTCAACTTAAACTAACAGGCAGCCCATTACCTCAGCAAGTTCAGGGCCTTTGTCCTAGCATACCATCTTTAAAATCAGCTAGCTACTAGTGTCCCTGAACCTCAGGCCCGTTTTATGGTAAGCCTAGTCGGCCTAAGCCGCATGTTCCTAAGGTTAAACAGGACTGCCCAGCATGTTTATTTACAGATATTTCATATTTCTTTTTTCCTTTTGGGTTCGAGATGAGTGCCTAACACTAACCGCCTCATAAGCCTAGCCAGCTCATCAGACATATGCGTTGTCCCCCCTTCTGCTCAGATAATGGACGCAAATGTCAGTACCATGTGAAGGTAGGACATGCAGGCTGAGAAATGTAATTACTCTGTTCATCTATGTTTTTACGCTACTTTAAACATAAAATAAAAGTGCAGTAGGCTAAAAGTTTATTAAATCGAGGCCCAAGTTAATTTGGCATAATCTGTCTTTCATTAAATAATGTTGCTTTCTACCTAAGATATTGTTGTTCAAAATGAATTTCTGAATATTATATTACCAGATGTTAAGCTTTTAGCTCTGTAGTTTCCATTTTGAGCATTTGAACCTTTTTTTCAAATGCGTACCACATCCTCTGGAATGATTCTTTAAAGAAAACAATCCTGAAAGATTAAAAACAGTGGTATGGATTTTTCTACACCAAGCTCCTTAAGTACTCATGGGTGAATACCATCTGGCCATGGTGCTTTGTGTACTTTCATTTCTTTTTAATTGCTTTACTTTATCATGTGTTATCTAATCACCTGTTTGTTTTATGGCTTTTGTAACAGGAATATGCAAATCTGCAGGCATAGATTCTTCTTTGCTTATATACTAAAAAATACCTTTTTGGCATAGATATACTTAAAAAACTTTTTGGGGTTGAGATTCCTCTCTTTGACTATGAGCTTTCTTTTAAAAATACCATTATCCTATTAAAATTAAGATCAAGACAAGAAACTATTCTAGTTGGTGCTTCTACTAAATTAGAAATAAAAGTGTAATTTTACAGATTCAAAAAACCTTTTTCTCTTAAAGGTACTACTAGTCTCACAGTCCTTGCTTCGCCTGCTGGAGAAGACCAGATGCAGTTGATGTGGCTGTGGGTGCAAGGCGGGACCCAGTTAAGTTGCCACACCATACTAAAGTGGTTTGACATCTTACTGTGGGACAGCACCAGGGAACTCCAAGCATTTTACCATTATGGTAATGCCACGGAACTATCCTCAATAAGCATTGTGCGAACAGCGTAAAAGACATTCTATGCAAACTACAGCCAGGGCATAAAGCCCATTCCCAGAGCACTTTAATAGCATTCTGCACATATATAGATAGATAGAAACGCCCCTTTTATTAACAACCTCCTTTCTAGGTGGCACCTGCCGTTTGGGGCTTTACATCACTGTCTTGCCTCCATAAGCCCACCTGCTTTGGATCTTGGGAGGTAAGAAAGACCTCTACTCGGATGCATGGAACTCATGCCCAATCTCTGCAAAATCAAGAGGAGATGGTTGTGTCACAAAGGTTTGCATAGTCTTTAGAAAAGGAACTTGGAACCATAACTGTAAACCCAATGACCCTAGTCAACATGCAGGACTGTCCCAGCAAATTCGGGACTGTTGTCACTTATGATGCAATAAAGTAAGCTGTTACAAATGGCTTCACAAATTCTGTACTGCTGAATAACAAAAAGGAACCTTTATCTACCAGTCCCTCTCCTGTTTTTTGTGTGTCTTTTTTAGAGTGGGAGGTGGAAGGGGAATGCAACACAGCACTTTAGTTTCACATATAATTTGACCTTTAGGTTTCATTGTGAATGGTTGCATTAAACATTCTATATAGTGCATTGACCTGACTCTAAGTCATAATTAACTAGAGGTAATTGAAATGAAAAACAACTAGATTCCTGCTGAGAACGGGAAAAAAAATGATTCAAGTCGTATAAACAAAGGGAGAGAGAGAATTCTTAGTTAAAGTAGTTTTCAGTCTGTGTAGAACTAAATCCAAGATCTGGATAGAATTCCTTTTATGGATTACCCCGCTCACACTGTTTGGAAAGTTGTGAAAATACATTTGTATTAATTGAAATGTTCCTGAAAAATGAAAGAGAACGACACCTATCATAATGGTATTTTGTAGGGAAACGTGTTTAATTTATACATTGTGCAGGCCACATCTCAACTAAATGTATAAATACATCGTTTTTAATATTGTAGATTTCATATAACCTACAGCTGTGCCAGGTTCATAACTAGGTCATGACGAATCCTGAGCAAAAAAATATATTAGTTCCATGGCTTTGGCATAGATGGGTAGATTCACTAAACAGTGAATTGTCATGAGCTGAAAATGTTGAAATAGTGAAATGTAGGCCAAATTAGCTAAAAACTATTTGGCTTAAAATTTTACAATTTGTTTTTGATTTCACTATAATTCACTGTTGAATGAATAAACTCCAGAGAGTGTCGGGAAGGAGCATTGCTAACTTCTACTTTCACATTAGACACCAGGGTAATGTTGGTACTTGATGCTGTCTCATTTCATATAATGGTTAGATCTCTGGATCTACCAATCAGTAATGCATATGTCACAACTTCCCCTGTTTGGGAAGGTTGGTCCCTATCTCTCTGTCCCTCTTTTTTAGGTGCTCCATATTGTTGGTGTGTCTGCGTGTATAACAATAATATTCACAGTAACGTGTAATTAAAGTGATGCTATAGGCAACCAGACCATTAAGGTTGTCTGGGTACAGTGTTTGTGGCCCCATTAGTCCTGCAATGTAAATCATTACATTTTTAGAAAAACTGCGATGATTACATTGCAGGACTAAAACTGCCTCTAGTGGCTGTCAATCAGACAGCCAATAGAGGGACTTCCTGCTTGCTAGGTGACATTTGGTTGCCTAACTGACACTGGACGTCCTCAAGCTTTGCATGAGAATATCCAGCAACAGTAAAACCCCCATAGGAAAGCATTGCAGCAAAGCTTTCCCATGGGAAGGGCCTAATGCGCTCACAGCGCTTGTTGCGCATGCACATTAATCCCCACTCCGTCAGGTGATGTAGGAGGAGATGTAGCACCAACCCAACAGTGCCAGGGGACAGGCCAGAGGGAAGTATTGTGTAAAGAATACAGATTTAGAAATCATGGAGAGCAAAAAATGGGTCGCAAGAGTATTCTGAGAACGGACAGCAGCTAAAATAGCCTGCCCTTCGGTGGGTCCCCGCTCAGAACTCAAGCTGGTTTTAGCTCATCTTGTGCCATTACAGAGAGAACATATCTGAAGCATATCAGACTGGTCCCACCCATACGGGCAGTCCAGATCCGAAATGCCAGCAAGTTCTCTCTGTGCACGAGAGATACAGCAACCCCAGACGATCATTTCTGTAATGGCACAAGATGAGCTAAAACCAGCTTGAGTTCTGAGCGGGGACCCACCGAAGGGCAGGCTATTTTAGCTGCTGTCCGTTCTCAGAATACTCTTGCGAACCATTTTTTGCTCTCCATGATTTCTAAATCTGTATTCTTTAGAAATCAGTCTGTGTAGATAGGACATATTACTCTTGCACTAAATTACATTTTAGTTGCATAAATTGTTATTAGTAAAGCACCTACAATTTCTCAGTTCGGCCCTAACTATGGCCACACCACCTTCTTACACCCCTAAAATTTAAATTAAAATCCCTTTTTGTCCATATCAAATGTTGGTAGGTGCAGTATTGTTCATGTGTACCTAATGGAGCTTTCTTTTTAAAGTGTACCATTATGTTTTCAAATCTCACTGAATGAATCGGGTTTGCATGTTTGCTCATGATTATGCTAGAGCAGTGTGTTAGACTTGAATCCACAAATCTTTGAGTGACTAATTCACTTTAAAGTAATACTTTACGCACCATAACCATTTCATCTCATTGAATTGGTTACAGTGCTTGGAGTCCCGTGGAGCAGTTACTGCAGGTATGGCTAAGGCAGGGATTGCCATGTTCCATACCCATACCAATAATTCTAGCAATGGGCGACTGTGATAGGCTGAAAACGTTCAGCTGAAACTCTCAGCCAATCCCAGCTGGCAATTGCTGCTCAGGCTAATTCTTCCTCATTAGTCCAAGTAGGACAGGACAGATGAGCTGTCGGGGGCTCTCGTTTTGCATTAAATCATTCACAACTGTTTGACAGTAAATGGAAACATAGCACCCGGAGACTACGGAAACTATAACCACTTTAGTAAAACGAAGCAGTCACAGTGCCTATAAAATGAAGCAGTTACAGTTACATTTAAACAAACTATGCTTGATGAATAAAGGATACTCTGCCCTAGCATCAAAACTGTAGTGTCCAGATAGTCTGCTACATTAAACCTCAATCTTTTCAAGAGACCGTTAGCAAACTTGAAAACATT